AGTTCAGTGTGTCAGCGGCTGCGAGTGCCGCAGCTGGAGCTGTGCAATTAAGTCTTTCTTGTGCCGTCCCTCAGTGCTCCTCCCATTCTTGCTTTGACAGCTCAGTACCGGCTGTAGTAGGACTAGCTAGTACTAGCTAGTCTCCGACAAGCTGTTGCCCACAAACTGCATGGAAGTTCCCAGAACGCCTGCAATAATATGAAACTGCTCCTTGCTCTTTGTGCAGGACAAAAGAGAGCTCCCAAAGCAAGAATTAACTCTTCACTGCTCTGCATGTAGCTACTACCTTCCTCACCGTGCGTGCACGCCCCTGTCTCTAGGGTAGGAAATAATGCCCAAAGACTCAGCAAAATAATGCTATTCAGCATCCTGAGTTTCCGTAGTGAAATGATTTTAGAAATAAACAAGTGTCTGGTTTTCAGTGGTATGCCTTCCCTGGAGGCGTTTGAATTATCCTGGCAGAGAGAAATTGGCTTCCTAGGAGGAGGGTGAACCTCTAGCTGGCCACATTAGCCAGCTAAGAACTGAGGAGGCAAGCAAGTAATCATTTTACACAGTATTCTGTCTACTGAGAGGTCTCTTGCACCTTCTTGTGCAGGTCAGAGACCCTCAGGTCTTACTCTGAATGGCAGCTTCTATACTCCTAGGAGTGTTGGAGCGTTGCTAGAGCTGTGGATGTTTGCTTGTGTTTGCACAGACACTTGGATTTATTGAGGTTTGCCTTGGAGCATGGAGACAGGATGTAGTTATAACACTGCTTCTCGCACACCTCAGTGTCAGGAGAAGACTGCGTTAGTTACAGAAATCTCATGTCTCAAAGAATGTACCTGCTGCTTCATGACACTTCACAGAGACCCAAGCCCCTGGGCAGAACAGGCTCTACACGTTAGAGAGCAATTCACTGCTGAACCCAAGATGCTGGGCAATATTCCCCAGGCTGCATCCCGTGCTGTTTTATGGAAAGTTTGGGAGTGTTTTGCAGGAGGACCTGAGGAGGTGAGTTTTATAAGCTTGGGTGCAATAGGAAGTGCCCCACTGTGGGACAGATCTTTTGCTGTGTTATGCATCATGAGTCACACCTGTGTGTGGTATTTAGGGGCAGCTCTGGCAGTCACACCGCAGGGAGCATCTGAAGCAGAGTTACACAGAGCAGTCACGACTCTTTTCCTTGCAGAGACTTCTAAATCATAATACTCAAGTGTCGGTCGAGAAGCCAAACACCTCCTCCTGCTCGTAGGTACAGCTGGGGGTGGTGGTTGCTGCTGCTGAGTGAGCAGAGAAAACTGGCAACCCCTGGTCTACAGCATGAACCAGAGCTGTGCTGCAATGGTTTTGATAGTGCAGGCACACTTTAAATCTCCATGAAGTGCATGAGAAAAGGTAGTTGTGTCCCTCCTGGCGTTCAGGGTACCTTGCAGGAGATGGGTGTGTGCAGGTGTCCATCACTGAGGACCAGTGGGAACTGCTTGGGGACTTCTCAGGTGGAGAGCTGTAACCCACATGAAGGAGCAGCTGCTTGAAGAGCTCAATGATGCTATCACCACTACCCTCAGGAGACCCTCTTTCTAGATCTGGTGCCTATTCTGGTGAGCACAGTGCAAAACATGCAACAGAGCTGGTGTGAACCCAGCAGTTGGTGTTCTGGCTGCTTCTCAACACCCACGGTGTGTAAGTATGGGAGGGAGGGGTTTACATCCTTGTTGGTGACCACGACTGACCCATGTGGACCTGGGCCTGCCCTTTCACCCAGCTGTGCTCGGGTGTAAGTGGCTGATCTCCCCGTGCAAGGCTGCCAGGCTGTCACCCATGGGCTGGTGGCAATGCTTTTCTCATTGAGGCAAGGTGGATAACTGCCCAGGTCTTCCTAGAGTGCGCTGACAGCGTGAGCCCGATCAGGCAATTGTCAACATGCAAACATGGCTGGTGAGTTTTTGTGTTGTGTAAAAAGCTACTTGTATAGCCATGTCAGAGCAGCGTGCTGAGCTCCGGTTACAAAACCATAATTGCATTTCTGTTGTAGATGTAGGCTTGGCAGAATCGGGGCAGGAATTATTCCATTGATTACCTGATGGGACCTGTTCAGCGAGGCTGTTCCCACACTCCCTCCAACTCAAAGACCAAACCTGTTCTTGTACCAAATAGGTTTCTGTGTGTCTAGTTATTGTTTCTTAATGCGTTTCTGTCCCAGTGTGGGTCCCAGTTGCTCAGCATGGAGCTCGCCACACTGGAGTGCAGCCACATGGCTGCAGCGGGGAGTCTCGCCTTTCGTATGCGGTAAGATTCAGGCTGTGTACTAAACAATCAGGAGTTTTAATACAAAACAACAACAAAACAATCCCTGCGAGTAACTGCCGGCTCGTGTCACAGGTGTGACGGGAGCTGTCGCGTGGTTAGATGGAAGTGACAGGTGATTTTATCATTGTGTTAGTTAAGCTTTGTGAAAAGCAGCTTTATTCAGTGTAGTGGCAAGGATGGGACCAGGCTCGGGAATCTCTGGATTCCTCTGAATTCCACTGGAGCTGAATCAGTGTGATGTTTGGTAACGTCGCTGGTGTAGAGGAGATCTCAGCATCTAGATGCGTATGTGTCAGGAGTGTGGGCTGAGGCACAGATTGTGTTCCTCACCTCAGAACTTGTGTTGGCAGGACAAACACCAGCCTAAGCAGACATGGCTGTGGTGGATGAGGGCCTGTACTGAGTGCAGGGCCAAATTTGTCACTAGATTTTAGGCTTCAGGCTTCTACTCAGATGACATTTATCTTTTAAAAACAACCTGCCTGACCCAGCTGTGTGTATGTTTCACCGGAGCTTGATTAAGAGGAAAGAAAAGTAAAATGCAGAGATGGAATTGAGTATACATAGGAATTGTACAACAAATATGAAAACATACCGAGGAGATGCACAGTGGCCTCACCTTTGGGCTGCTGAGCCTTTGGGTTTTGTTAGCATCACCCTCGTCCTGAAGGCACCCTTTCCTGGCACGGTAAGGGTGGCAGAGTCACTGCCGAAGGAGGAGACGTGGGTAATTGCTGGGGTGTGGGGAGAGAAGTCCTTCCTCGTCCAAACAAGCATGACTTTGTGCTCTCTGATGCTTTGTCAAGGTCCCCTGGGCCCAGGGTGAGATGGCAGCAGTGTAACCATGGCAGTGTTTGTCTCCAGGATAGTCACTGGTTTAATGACTCATCCCGGAGAATGTGACCACGTGTGCAGCCTCCCTGCGTCCCTTTGCCCTATTTCATCCAGCCTTTTGATCTAGTTGTATAACCAGGAGTCGAGAGGGGTCGGGGGAAGGAAACAGTGTGGGAGAATTGCAGGTAATGTGACCAAAATGTGTCTGCAGCTCAAATAGCAGAGCTCTTGTCTGGGAAGCCTGGGAAACTGGGTTTATTCCCAGCACAGTTCTCTGTCTGCAAGTGAATGTGATGTCTGAGCTGGTAAATTTAAGGAGACATGGTGGGAGGACAGGGCTCCAAGGCCTTGGCTGCGGTGGGAGAGCTGCTGTGATTGTAGCAGCAAACCCCTTTGCAATTATGGTTTTGCTTTCCTGCGTGCGTCCTGAGCTCTGTTTCATCACATCAGCCATGGATACCTGTTTTTCTAGTATGTATAGGACTTGCTGGGACTGATGTTCACAGAAACGTTTGAGCTGCTCTGCTGCTGGTATTGGTCCACGGTGGGGTGAGCCCTGAAGTCCCAAATGGATTCTGAGCCAGACTGGGGCAGGTCTGGTGGGGCGTCTGGAGAGGAAGCTTGCAGAGTTGGTTCTTTTGACCAAGGTGTGAATCTAGTCCTCATGATCTCGATTGTAAGAGGTGATATTGGTGGTAAGGTTAATTTAAAAGGCATATTAATGTGGCAGCTGTAGAAGTGCCTGTACATGCAACGTGCTGTACTGAAGCATCCCCCATTTAAGCTCCCAGCTTTTTGAGAAGGGATGCTCTTTGTCTCCAGATCCCATGGAGTTACAATGTGATGCTTGTTGGTTCTGTATTACTTCATCTGCCACATTCTTCTGCGCTGATGTCTTCTTTCCTTCAAAGTTCTGTCTTAAGTGTCATTTCAGTTCAGTCATTAGCTCAGATACACAGTATAGGCAAGAAAGCTGATTATGAGATGAGGTTCAGGGTATCTCTTTGCCTGACACAAGGGGACAAGAGGCTTCAAAGAAGCTATTACAAGGCTTGTCAGAAACAGTTTACTTCAAGGGAAGCTTTTGAACAGAAACATTTCCTTTCTGTGCTCTACAAGCATTAGCTTGGTCACTGACAGCCTGTTGAAGAGCAAAATGTCACATAGAACAAGGTGTCATTTCACATAGTGCTTTAAGACTGAATTCAGACATGAATACAGGTCTGAAAATAGGGGGATGTAGTGAAAAAGGAGTACGTGTGGTTTACAATGTGGAAAGAGTATTGCTGCTTACTTTTTGTTTTTAAAAAGCTTGCCAGAAGTTACCATTTAAATCATGAGAGTGGAGCCTGGTGGTAAAACCACGGGGCTGGCTGCTAAGCCATGACCCCGTGTTTGAACCCAATAACCTCTTGAGTGGTGTGTTCTGTTAACTTGGAAGATGGTTACACAGGTGTCAGATAAACGGAAATTTCTGTCCCACTGTTGTGAAACAAAGAAAAACAGATTTGAGTTCCTGGTTTTAATTGGAGCTCATTGGGCCCCTGTAGGAAAATAGGCCCTTAGGGGCAGCAAGTGCTCTGAGTGGACTGAAATAATTCTGTCTTATTTTCTTGTCAGGACGCTTTTTGGGCTGTGTTGGGTGGTGTTAGCCTCAGCTTTCACTGGGAACAGACCCTCCACCTTAAAACTTTTTAACACTCTTTGAGTGGCGCTGTCAGAAAGGACCCTGGGTTTGACCCTCAGAGAGACATGCTTGCAAACGAGGGAGAATAGGGATTGTTGGTTCCCATTCAGCTCAAACCCTGATGAAAAGCCGGCTGCCAGCCTGGCACGGTTGTTCTCATGTCGTTTCCTCCTTGTCTTTTCAGACCAACCCCAGGAAGCCGTGTTCAGCGGGGACCATGTTGAACACGCGGAGGATGGAGAATGGCAGCGCTCTACTTCAACTACCTCATCTCAGAGTGAGCGGGCAGAGCGTCTCTTGCAGAACCAGCACAAGAGCCTGGCCTCTGAGGACACCAAAAAGAAGAGGGCTCAGAAACCGTCTCACATGCGGAGGAACATAAGGTAAGGGGCAGCAGGCAGGACAGAAAGAGTTAGGGTCCTATGTAGCCTTTTGGGTAAAAATGGAGTCTCTGGACTTCGCTTCTGAGCTACATTTTGCCGCTGCTGGCAAACCAGATGGCTTTTCTTTTCCAAAACCTTAGGATTTTGCCAGTGGGAGTAGTATGATCTCAGACTGGAGTGCCGCATGTGGGTGCAGACTTGTTTGGTATTTCAGAAGAGCGAATATTTGGTTTTGAATATATTGCAAAAATTGTGTACTTGCTGCTGGCTTTTAAGACACATAATTGAAAAACAGCACCACCGTTAAGTGAAAATCCAGTTTCAGATATCTGTTTATGAGGATCCTATTGCAAACAGCCTAAAATATAGTCCTTCCCTCTATTATCCTGGGTATTTGTTGGCAGGAATGCTGATGCTCTGACTGGTGACTGAAATGTTGGAAATCAATTTCACCTGAATTTTATAAAGCATGAATTGTTTGATTGTGTAAGTCATCACATGTATTCTGGGACAGGTTCTGAGGTGGTAATTCACTATGAAATTTTGTTCAAGGGGATCTAAAATGCTCAGAGGAGTCATCATGGAGCAGGAACTCCTGTGCCAGGAAGTGGCTCTTTTGCCCTGTATGTAACATGCTGGTGGTCTCTGGTTCATATTTAAAGTTGTGGTGATTGATTTTCTTAAAGCTGAAGGAATGAGCCTTGAGTGGGCCTTAGAAACTGAGACTTTGTTAGAATGGAGGAGGTGTCCCTGCAGGGTGGGGTTGGGTGGATTTAAAGGTTAGTTTGAGGGAGCTGGATTTTACCACTGCCTGTACTGCACCTCTCCTCTGGCAAAAGAGCCTTCATTTCCAGGGCTGTGCATGAGAAACTGAAGTGGGGGAAAAGCAACTTTTAGAAGTAATGAAAATTACCTGTATAAGTAAGGTTCTTTGCGAGCATCCTTCAAAACAATTGTTAAAGCTATTAGAGGTCCTAGTTCCTGAAAATACTATATCAGAGGAGAATCGGGGCGATAGCTTTTTGTGGGGCTGTTGATGCCTTTTCTTTCTATATAACTTCTTTGCTTGACTTTGTATATTTTCTGTTTATAAACTGCATAGCAATAAATAACATCCTTTTAGACAGAAGAACTAGTCTACGATAACCTAGCGTTAAGTATATACTTACCCACTCACATTTTTCCTACTTTCATTATTTTGCTTCTGTCAAACTTTTTGTCTTTTCCTTGAGTAATGGTAGTGTCAGCTGTAGTTGGGAAGCACGGTCTTGAAATAGCTATAGAATTTGTCTATAGCTTTTGGTGATGCTGTTCCTGGTCTGTGTAGCTGACAGACTACCTGGAGCTTGTAAATCAGCTTTAGAGCCAGCTGTACAGCCATTCAGGTTTTTTTTGGAAGAAATTGTTTAAGTGTAACCAAATCATGTTTCTCTGTTTGCTCCTGTGTTCAGAAAGCTGTTGCGTGAGGACCAACTGGAAGCTGTGACAAAAGCAGCCCAGCAGGAAGAGTTGGAGAGAAGGAAACGGTTAGAGCAGCAGCGGAAGGATTATCCAGCCACTATCCCAACTGTACCCCTAGAGTTTCTTCCTGGTAAGCAGTGGGAGGTGCTACCTGAAGCAAGATTTTTAAGGATAGAACCTGAATGAAGAAAAAGGTAGTGCCATACTTGTCCATGACTGGACAAGGGGTAATGGGTTTAAAGTAAAAACAAGGGGGTTGAGTGCACCCCCCGAGTTGGGCAAGAGTTTTAACCTGCTTGGGGATAGAAAGGCTTTGCAGAGGGATCTGGACGGGCTGGATCAATGGGCCAAGGCCAGTGGGGTAAGGTTCAACAAGGCCAAGTGCCAGGTCCTGCCCTTGGGTCACAACAGCCCCATGCAGCTCTGCAGTCCTGGGGAAGAGCGGCTGGAGCTGCCCCATGGAAAAGGACCTGGGGGTGCTGGTCAATAGTTGGCTGAATATGAGCCAGCAGTGTGCCCAGGTGGCCAAGGAGGCCAACAGCATCTTGGCCTGTATCAAGAACAGTGTGGTCAGCAGGACTAAGGAAGTGATCGTCCCCCTGTATTCGGCACTGGTGAGGCCCCACCTGGAGTACTGTGTCCAGTTTTGGGCCCTTCACTGCAAGAAAGACATTGAGGTGCTGGAGCGGGTCCAGAGAAGGGCAACGAAGCTGGTGAGGGGTCTGGAGAATATGTCTTATGAGGAGAGGCTGAGGGAGCTGGGGTTGTTCAGCCTGCAGAAAAGGAGGCTGAGGGGAGACCTTATCACTCTCTACGTCTACTAGAAAGAAGGGTGTCGGAAGGAGAGGGTTGGCCTCTTCTCCCAAGTAACAGATGATGGGACAAGAGGAAATGGCCACAAGTTGTGCCAGGAGAGGTTTAAGTTGGATATGGGGAAAAATTTTTACACTGAAAAGGTTATTAAGCATTAGAATGGGCTGCCTGGGGAAGTGGTTGAGTCACCATCCCTGGAGGTATTTAAAAGACGGGTTGACATAGTGCTTAGAGATACGGTTTAGTGATGTTTTTTGTCAGTGTTAGGTGGATGGTTGGACTAGATGATCTGAAAAGTCACTTCCAACCTAGACAATTCTAAGATTCTATGATATGGAAGCTTAAACAAAGGGACTTGACGGAAGTGCCATGTCTATGGTCCAGATCATATTTGTACTGTGACTGGCTGGGTAATGCGTGGGTCTGGTGCTAGAGATAGTGGAACAATAGACTGGGTGTAGATATGTTCATGATGTCACCTTGTCCTTTCTTGCATGTTTCAGCAAGCAGTGAAGTAACAGGCAGTGTAAATGGTTATGTCTTCTGGTGAATGTCTTCTTGCATTCTCTTCTAATCCGGATCATGTCAATGGTCTAGTTTATAGCACAGCCCCTCAGACTGGTGTAAATGGCAGAGAAGTGCAGTTGGAAGTGGTGTTGGGGGTAAGGAGTTCTTGAGTTGACTTTCCCTCTTGAGAAAAATATATATTCTCCCTTAAGTAGTGTTCAAAACATTTTATGTGGTGGGGGGTGGGGGGGAAGGAAGAAGAGCTATTTAAAGGACTTTAACTGTTGCAGAGTAAGTTGCAGCCCCAGAAGAACATCATTGCTTGCTGAGTCACTGCAGTGGTGCTTATTTGGCCTGGTTACACTTGCCTCTCTCCCCACGTGGCAATACATACAAACACATAGTCCTGATCAGCAAAAGTTGTTTATGATGCGTGGGATACAATTATTACAGTGTCCCTGCTGACAAAGGGCAGTTATCATCCCTTCAGCCATTGATATTTTCTCTGCTGGGTGAAAACCAGCTTTTACTTCTGAGACCAGAATAAAATAAAAAAAAAAGAAAGGGGGCTTTAGCATGTCACATGGCCAGTGCGCCCCGGTCAGGGCATGCAATAGAGAGGGTGCCATCAGCAATGGGCTATTGTTTTGGCACATTGAGAAAGCAGGAGATTGTGACCCAGGAAGCTGAGTCATAGCAGTTTTGTAGACAGTGAGAGTCTGTTATGGAAAATTCCAGGGCTAAGTTACTGGAGCAAAAGTGGAAGGAAATACTGTCTGGTTTCTGAATAATTTTGTCTCCTTCCCCATTATTATGAATTACTTATTGTTTGTAATTTATGTTTGTAGAGGACATCGTTTTCAGAACAGCAGAGGCTACCCAGCTCCCCCCTCAGGTCCTGGCTGAGGAAGTGATCTGCCTCGATAGTACCAGCAGCGGCAGTGAAGATGATGCTAAAGGAAAAAATAGCATTAAAGATGGTAAGTGACCAACTGCCTCAGCCTGGTTTTCTCACAGTATGCTTTTTATTTAGCCACAAGCCTCCTGTTTCCATCTAGTCAGATGCTTCAGCAGTGAGTAACTTCAGGTTTTTGTAGGTTTGTTGGTTTCCAAATACACGGCCAGTTCTGACCTTTGAGTCCTAAACTGACATATATAACTGGCCTGTCAGGCACTCTTCCAAACTTATGTTTATTTCTGCTTTATAAATGCACTTAATTTTGCTCAGTGCTCTGCTGAAGAACGTGGTACCATCTGCCGTGTATGTAAAGGAGTATCTAAATATTCAGATCGGCAACTGAAAGTGGGTTTTGTGTCCTTTGTCCCAGATGGATCTAACCTGACTCCTTTATATCACTCTGGTAGAGTACCTCTGCTTGATTCCTTTGGTGGTCCTTAGAGACTGTATCAACAAATAAAATACTTGTCTGCATTTGGGAATTAAGAGAACATATGGAGGAAAACACAAAACACTTACAGAAACTGTCTCTGTACTGTTTGGGTCAGCCCAAATCAATGCTCCCTGAAACACAGGGAAACTCAGGGAAACCCATGATTTTATATGCTGATTTGATGGGCCTGATGAGTGCCTGTGTTGTGCCTGCTTATTCAGAACAGGTCATTAGGCCAGTGTGGAATTGCAAAATGTGGTAACCTTATTTTCCTGATACGATTTTTTATCAAGAACATCAAAGACAATAAGAAAAACTTCTATAGATATGTCAGGGACAAAGGCAAGACCAGGGAAGTTGCGGGCACTCTCCAGAAGGAAACGGGAGGCCTGGCCACCCAGGATATGGATAAGGCTGAGCTACTGAACAACTTCTTTGCCTCAGTCTTCACCAGCAAGGGCTCAAACCACACTGCCCAAGTCATGGAAGGCAAAAACAGGGGCTCTGCAAATGAAGAACTACCTACAGTACGAGAAGATCAAGTTCGAGACCTCTTACAGTACGAGAAGATCAGGTTTGAGGCCTCTTAAGGAACCTGAAGGTGCATAAGTCGGTGGGACTTGATGGAATCCATCCACGGGTCCTGAGGGAGCTGGCGGATGAAGTTGCTAAGCTGCTTTCCATTGTATTTGAGAAATTGTGGCAGTCTGGCGAAGTTTCCACAGACTGGAAAAGGGGAAACATAACCCCAATATTCAAAAAAGGGAAAAAAGAAGACCCAGGGAACTATAGGCCAGTCAGTCTCACCTCTGTGCCTGGCAAGAGAATGGAGCAGATCCTCCTGGGATCTCTGCTAGGGCACATGGAAAATAAGGAAGTGATTTGAGACAGCCAACATGGCTTCACCAAGGGCAAATCGTGCCTGACAAATTTGGTTGCCTTTTATGATACTGCCACACACTTGGTGGACAAGGGCAAAGCAACAGATGTCATCTACCTGGACTTGTGCAAAGCATTCAACACTGTCCCGCGTGACATCCTGGTCTCAAAATTGGAAACTAATGGATTCGATGGATGGACCACTTGGTGGATAAGGAGCTGGCTGGATGGCCACCCTCAAAGGGTTGTGGTCAATGGCTCAATGTCCAATTGGTGGCCAGTGACGAGTGGTGTTCCTCAGGGGTCCGTACTGGGACCAGTGCTGCTCAACATCTTTGTTGGAGACATGGACAGTGGGATAGAGTGCACCCTCAGCAAGTTTGCCGATAACACCAAACTCTATGATTCTATGACCAAATTAACCTTTGCTCTTATTCTTTCCTGTTTTGGTTATTTTACAGAAGTGATTGAGCTAAGTTCAGGAGAAGATGATGCCCTCCAAATTGTGGACAGCAGTGATTCTGGCAATGAAGGGGAGGATGATGGCAGTGAAGAGAGCAGTGGCTCTCATGTGAATGATGCCTTAAATCAGTCAGATGCTCTGGGGCAAGTCATTGTCAATATCAATCATCCACCAAACGAAGAGGACATTTTCCTGGCTCCCCAGCTTGCACATGCAGTCAAACCTCATCAGGTAGGCTTTACTGGCCTTGAAAATGCAATGGATTCAGGCAAGTCTGCCTTGTTATAAGCTCAGCAGAACTTCTTTGGTGAACTCTGGCCAGTCTGGTTGTGGTAGTGGCTGTTTTGGACACTCAAATGACAAGGACAAATTAAATGAAGGCCAGAGCAGTATATAACTTTGGCTATTGTTCTCATCAGACCTATGTATATTTAGATGAACATTTTGAAAAGAAAATTACGTTTATAAACAAACGAATCAACCCCAATTCAGATTCTCTGGCTACAAATTAATTTTGATTTATTGTTATATTCTCAGGAAGTTTTATGAGTATCTGAAGCTTTCAGAGCCTTCCCTAGATTAGAGTACTGTAGGGAACTTGAAACATCCCCTTTATATTTTCATGGTTTATGCGATCCTAATGTGCTTTCCACTCTGGAAATACATACCCATCTTGGTGGGTTTTTTCTTCCACTATTCTAATACCTTTTTTACTTTTCTGTCTAGATTGGCGGGATCCGATTCCTGTATGACAACTTGGTCGAGTCCTTGGAGAGATTTAAAACCAGCAGTGGGTTTGGGTGTATTTTAGCACATAGCATGGGCCTGGGCAAGACCATACAGGTCATCTCTTTCTTGGATGTACTTTTTCGGCACACGGAGGCAAAGACTGTTCTTGCCATTGTACCTGTAAGTAGCTACGTGAAGGGCTGGCTGAGGGGCTTCCTTGCACTGCTTCTTTCTTGGCGTAGAGAAGATTTTGAATAGTGTCCCATCTCACAACATGCTCTATCATACCCCTGCTCTTCTTCTTCCTCCTTCATTCCCTGTATCCCTGAGTTTGCGTGCTGTGGTCTTCTGTCTGGGCACAGCTGAGTGTCATTCCCTGTTCTCGTTTTTGCTCTTAAAATCCAGAGTGACTCAAGTGAGTTTTTAATCCTTCGATGGCAAACTTTTTCAGGTGAATACGCTCCAGAACTGGCTAGCAGAATTCAACATGTGGCTCCCAGCACCTGAAAACCTTCCTGCTGATTATAACTCCAAAGAGGTCCAGCCCCGCACCTTCAAAGTCCATATCCTGAATGATGAACACAAGTAGGTGCTGGTAAAAGCCCTTTTGAGCTCTTGGACTGTGTCTTATGGAACTGTTATCAGAATTGCTGTTGCAGACTGTTTAATTTGAGCTAATTCTGTGCCCTGAACTCCTGGATCTTTCCTGCTCTGCGTTTGGTGTGGATGCCATCTTGAAGGGAGGATTTTGGTACCTGTGAGAGATTTACTGATTAATTTCATTCGATATTTATATCTTACGCTCCCTTCTCACACTGCTGACGTGCCTTTCTGCTCTTCCATGTATGGTGAGATCAGGAACTATAGTTCCAGAGACAGAGCTACTTCTGCAGGGAGGAGCAGAAGTGCTATGTTTTGTTTCTGGTGGCACACTGCTAGCCCTGTCAGAGTCCTGGGATTCCATGTGTCTCTTGTATTTTAAATGTGGGTTGTTTTTTTTTTTTTTCCTGAGGTTTTTCACGCACTTAGGGATTCCTCTACCCGACTCTATGACTTTCGGTGAATTTTGTTGTCCTTGAGGGATTCTGGCAAGTTATACAAAGCCTCCTTGTCCAGAAAGGAGAGATCAGTGATTGTATTTACAGCCTGGTTTGGAGTGTATTCTTGGCTTATGGATCTCTCCTCCTTTCTGGGTCATTTTTCTTGCATGGATCAGGACAGTGTAGTGATCTTAGGGGACTCTCAGTTCATCAGCTGTGTTTGTAGACTTATCTGTTGAGGTCTTCACCTTCTGGGTGGAATGTATTTTGAATCTGCTGATGCTACTCCAGCCATGTGTTTACTTTTGGATGGGATCTGGTGGGCTAGTTTGATGCAAGAAAGTGCTTTAATTAATTGAATGGCTCTTTTTTTCTCAGCAGACTCCAATCCAGTTGTTCAAACTGAAACTGGTGATAAAGCTTTCAGTTTATTTGGTTTGTTTGCCTGTTTTGCAGGACAACAGCTGCACGTGCAAAGGTGGTGAATGACTGGGTGATAGAAGGTGGTGTGCTGCTGATGGGATATGAGATGTACCGTCTCCTCTCACTGAAGAAGTCCTTTGCCACTGGGAGGAAGAAGAAAACAAAGAAACAAACTGGCCCTGTCATTATTGACTTGGATGAAGAAGACCGGCAGCAAGAGCTTCTGAAAGGTGAGAGGCCAGTCCTTGAGAGAGCGAGCGTGATCCTGTTGTCCCACTAGCTATCAACTCTGGCAGCACAGGGAAACAACCTATAACTTGATTTTAACATCCCTGACATGATCAAGCTTTGCTGTGCAGGATTGTGTCTTTGGAGACAGAAGGTTGTTGAGCTTCAGTCGAGTCTTTAATTTCTTGCAGTAGCTGCAAGTGAGCATGGAAGTCAGGACACCGAACTTGGGGATTTCTCTGTGTGAGCTTTGCCAGTCTGCTCTGATGCCAGACACCCAACTTGATGCAGTGTGGGTTATTGGACAGAAATCAAGGGACAGTCATGTCTGGTCATTACCACATTATGCTAAATTGGAGCTAGTGTCTAGTCACTTTTAATTTCCTGAAACAGCCTTGCTCTCTGCCACCCACAAATACTGCTTTATTTGTCTTTCAGAATGTACCTCAAACCAGGACACAGAACTACCCCTTTTTTTTTTTGACTTTTCTTATGAAGTTGGTGACCATATAAAAGCAGAACTTTGTCTTATTCATCTCTAACTAACGCTTAATGTTCCTTGTCCTCAGGGATCGAGAAGGCTTTGTCTCGCCCTGGCCCAGACGTGGTTATCTGTGACGAGGGACACCGCATAAAGAACTGCCATGCCAGCACTTCGCAGGCCCTGAAGAACATCCGCTCCCGCCGACGGGTGGTGCTGACTGGCTACCCACTCCAGAACAACCTCATTGAGTATTGGTGCATGGTAGACTTCGTCCGACCTGACTTTCTAGGCTCCCGGCAGGAATTCAGCAACATGTTTGAGCGCCCTATCCTGAATGGGCAGTGTATTGACAGCACCCCTCAAGATGTCCGTCTCATGAGGTACCGCAGTCACGTCCTGCATAGCCTGCTGGAAGGCTTTGTGCAGCGGTGAGTCCACAGGGGGTTCTTAATGGTATAGTCCACGCTCCTTCATCCCAAATTAACCTGCTCGTTTGCTGAGTTTATGCAGTACAGCTAATCATGCTGCCTCGTAGAATCATTGAGGTTGGAAAAGACCCTTAAGATCATTGAGTCTAACCGTTAACCTAACACTACCAAGTCCACCACTAAACCATGTCCCTAAGTGCCACATCTAAATAGTCTTCTAAATACTTCCAGGGATGGTGACTCAACCACTTCCCTAGACAGCAAGGATGCTGTTGGCCTTGGCCACTTGGGCAATCTGGTGGTTCATATTCAGTAGCTGGCAACCAGGTCCTTTTCTGACGGGCAGCTCTCCAGGCACTCTTCTCCAAGCCTGTAGCATTGCGTGGGCTTTTTGTTACTCAAGTGCAGGATCCGGCACTTGGCCATGTTGAACTTCACACCACTGGCCTCAGCCCATCGATCCAGCTTCGTAGGCTTGAGTTTTAAACGGGTACCTTATCTGTCTTTGTGGCAAGATCTTACGCACACAGAGAAAACCACAGAGGAGATTCTTAGGTTAGCAGCTCCATATTTCTCTAAGAATCTCTGTCTTCTTCAATCTGTCAGCTGCAAAGTGGTCCTTATGGCTCTGTTTTGCCTTGGGGGTAGAATTAAAGTTAGTTTGCTTCGGTACTGCAGACTCTGATAATGGAGAACACTAACTGCACCAGAGTGACCTCAGGTTTATTTTGATGTCCTAGTGCACATTCTTATCAACTATTTTCTGACATCCTCTACCCAAGGATAGTGTTTCATGAGCCCTCAGTTATGAAAAGTGACAGTGTCTCTGCCACTCTGGAAATGAATCAATTTTGTTTCTCAGATGAGGGTTCTAAGATGCTGGACCAGTGATTTGGATGGAGTGTCTTAGTCATTGGTAGAGCTGAAAAGAGACATTAGGTCTTATTTCTGTTTTTCAAATTCCATGGAAAACAGGACTTTCTTCACCCTCTTAACACTGTGACCTGTGCTAGAAGATTGTAACTTCTGAGATCTCTGTAACTGACCTTATAGTTGGCATTTGGCTGCAGGGAGAGTATCTCGGAAGTGCCATACATTAGAGAAGCATGCAACTGGAGGTCTTTCTCCCTGCAGAAGAAGAAATCTCACCCTACAGGCAGCCACAGAGAGGATCTGAGATCTCTGTAACTGGTCTTATAGTTGGCATTTGGCTGCGGGAAGAGTATCTTGGAAGTGTCATACATTAGAGAAGCATGCAACTAGAGGTCTTTCTCCCAGCAGCCAGGTGGGCAAGAAGTCAAAATCTCACCCTACAGGCAGCCACAGAGAGGTCAGATTGGGAAATTCCCTTTCCTCTGTTTAACTCTCTCTTTATTTCCTCCCCAGGCGAGGCCACAATGTGCTGAAGGTTCAGCTCCCATCTAAGGAAGAACACGTCATTTTGGTACGTCTTTCCAAGATCCAGCGGGCCCTTTATACGGAGTTCATGAACCGGTTCCGAGATGCAGGCAACAGTGGCTGGCTGGGACTGAACCCACTCAAAGCTTTCTGTGTCTGCTGTAAGGTAGGTTTTGGCAGGAGCTGCAGAGAAATATTCTAGTATGGAAGGAAAAGGAATATGAGTGAAAACAGGAGATAAGTGTGGTTGGCCAGACGCATCTTCTCTCCCAGGAGTGCCCTGCAGAATTTCTATCCCTACTTCCAGAACGGGGGTGCAGGGATATTAAATGTCTTGTTCAAATTTGTACGGGACACCTGCAGCCATCAGCTGAATGATACTGGGCTGATACTTTGATCACTTACCTGCTGCAGTGCAAACAAGTGGCTTCCTCTGTGTTTGCACTGTGTGGGTGCATAGTGGCCTTCTGGTTTCTTCTCAGGGAAAGAATTTGGCAGTTTTAGAGTCTGGAGAGCCTTGGTTAGGAGGGTTTGTACCTTGTGTCATGGCAGATTCGTGTCTTCTGTTTTTATTACCTTAATGCAGTCAGACTGGCTTTCTCTGCAACGCCTAATAGTTCCATGTGGGGATGGTGATGAGGTGATCAAAGCATTACTTCTTTCCTTTGAATAGCTGTGGGGGCTTTCAGTCTGCAATCATTGGCAGGCAGCAGGCCAGTGCAGGCCTAACCCCTTTCTTTTTGTACTCCTTCAGATCTGGAACCATCCAGACGTGTTGTATGAAGCTCTGCAAAAGGAGAATCTAGCAAATGAGCAGGATTTGGATGTGGATGACCTTGGCACAGCAAGTACTAATTCCCGCTGCCAGCCTCAGGGAATTAAAGTCAAAACAGAGAGTAATGCTATGGCGTCACCAGTTGGAGATGCCACCAATAGCAAGTTCCTCCAGAGTGTTGGCTTCAACCCCTTTCAGGAGAGAGCAAATCAGGTCGTTACTTATGAGTGGGTGAGTACCACTGCTGGAAAACCATTCGTTTGGAGAGTTATGATAAACATAGACTAGATACTCTGAAAGACTATACTCTTTTTGTTAGGGTAGTTTTCCGAACTATGGCAAAGAAAAGACTCTTCTGTTTAAGAGTTGAGGATTTCCCACCTTTTTTCTCTGCCGCAGAGCATCTTGATAAGCATGTCTGTCTGGCATTGGGTAGGATTTTGGGACTCTCGTGAGGCTGGAGTGCAGGCAACTCTCTTTTATACCACTGTTTTCATCTGACCAAGAAGTCTGTGGACTTTGTTATTCTAAGAAAGGTGTTAGGGTGAAGTTTAATCTAGATAAGATGGTGGTAAATCTAGTAGGCTGGAGGAGAGGTCTTGAGATAGAGAGTCATGAGAGGTTAAGAGGGTGCTCATTCATCCATAATCCAAGAAGTTTGTCATTTGGAGCTTCTGGAATGGCAGGTAGCAGCAGTAGTTGGCAGTGACATTGTCACCTGGACCCAGTTGGATGTATATAACCTGTCTGCAATGACTTATTTGTCTCACCTTGAGGTAGGATTGTTGAACTAAACAGAGAATGAGCAACTCCACCTGTAATAGTCTCCCATTTCTTGGTAGGCCAAAGACATCTTGTGTGATTATCAGACGGGAGTCTTGGACAACTCACCCAAGATGGTGTTACTGTTCCACCTAATTGAGGAAAGTGTGAAGCTTGGAGACAAGATCTTGGTCTTCAGGTAAGCAAAGTATCAACAGCTGATCCTAGAGTGACTAAATGCTGGAGTAGGAAAACCTCTCCTGGTACCAGGAGGCTGTTACGTGAAGTGAGTGGTGTGGCAGTTCCCCTTTTCTCCTTTGTTCTGTTAGATCCTGGTTTTCCTCCATGGATTTTATACTTCTGCCACTGTCAGGTTTACTAGTGAGAGGTGTGCTGCCACAAACAGGGTTTGCCAACTGTCAGTGCTGTCATGGTTGGGGAAGAGTTCTGATACTCCAACTGTCAGTGCTGTCATGGTTGGGGAAGAGTTCTGATACTCCACTTTTGCTGCTATGGGGGCTTTCTCCTTAACATAGATCTTGGTTTTACAGCCAGAGCTTGTCCACGTTATCTGTCATTGAAGAGTTTTTGGCAAAGAGACCAATGCCAAGTCCTCCAGGCTCAGATGGAGGAGTTCACAACTGGGTCCGAAACATCAACTATTACAGTGAGTGCAGCCAATCCTGTTCTCTTTTGGTGTGACACTGTTTGATCCTCTATGACAGACTAATTCCTGAAAGTCACCCACCACCGTCTTGTAGTTGTCCCTGGGTGTGAAAATACTCTTCTGAAGCATTCTTCTGGTGACATCTCATTCAGACTGTTCTTACATCTCATTCAGACTGTTCTTACTTCACTTGCTTAGGAAGACAGTGTCAATTTGATAGCAACTAACTAATAATTTCTAAATCTTCTTTTTGACATCTTACTCAGATGTTGTTAGATGTCTTTAACATCTCACTTAGACACTAGTGCTTTTTAAGTTGTAAAAGATACTTTTTGCTTCCTGTTTGGGTATTTTCTAGATCATGCTTCCCAAACGAGAATCACTGTGGAATGCTTTCACTAGCTCGCTGCTGTGAAGTTGTCCTCCCTTCTTCCCCAGCTTTAAATCTTGTTCCACATGGATTGTTGCTTTTATGTGGCTACTTTACAGGCTGGGACTAAGATGAGCAGCAGATATGGTGTTCCTGATTTTTGCAGAGCTCGCAGAAGCAAGCTGTTGCCCAAGAACAGACACATGATACCCCTTGCACTCCTTTAGACCTGTACTCTCCGTGCTCAGATACAGTCTGTGGGGTTTTGCCAAAGGCTTCTAAATTTTTTGCTTTCTCTTGGTTCCTCAAGCTTCCAGCATACGTGAAGCCTTTGTGCCTGCTGCTCTTGCTGTCTGTCTGTCTTGCCTAGTATGGAGCCTTACGGGCTAAGGGTGTTGTAGCACTCCCAGACTTGGCCTTGCCATGCTTGAGTGATGTCTTGCTTGATCTTTCAGTTGTACAAATTCCACCCTGGCTGGCTGCATTGCACCTGCCTGGCTGGGCAAATTAGAGGTACAGAGTGGTCTGGTTGAGATCCTGGAGAGCATGACTTGAGGAAGACATAGAATTGGTTGGGAACCAGTGTGAAAGCTCAGTGTTTGGGAAGTGGTTTTGTTCTGATGGGATCCCGCCGAACATACAGAGCTTTTAAACGAGTCCTTAATTTCCTTCTCAGGACTGGATGGCAGCACCTCTGCCTCGGAAAGGGAACGGCTGATTAACCAGTTCAATGACCCCAGCAATGCCTCTGTTTGGCTCTTCCTCTTGTCCACACGGTAAGTTGGCTGCAGTAGAAAGGCGCAGTGGAGGACTCATGCTGGTGGTCTGTATGTTTATGGGTTTTCAGTTCTTAAATATCTTCGTAGTGTGCTCTCAAGACTCTATGGGATGACAGTGCCATCTGCTTCTTAATTCCCCAGGGGTGTAGGTTTTTAGCCTTAGTCCTCTGCAACGACTTACTGACGGTCTTGGAAACCAAGCATGGGTTTGAAGTTGCCCGTATGACTGGAGGGAACTTTCCAAAGACATAGTCCTCATGGACTCTTGGCTGTGATGGCTGTCCCTGCCTAGAAACTGTGAGAATTGGCCAAGGCATCAATTTGAAATTTGCCTTTAATTTTCAGTGCTGGGTGTTTGGGTGTCAACCTCATTGGAGCAAACAGAGTGGTGGTGTTTGATGCTTCTTGGAACCCATGCCATGATGCCCAGGCTGTGTGCCGAGTCTACCGCTATGGGCAGAAGAAGCCATGCCACATTTACAGACTGGTTTCTGACTACACCCTTGAGAAGAAGATCTATGACCGTCAGATCTCCAAGCAGGGCATGTCAGGTAAGTGTGGATATGGGGCTCCACTCTTGTCTTTTGCTCCCTGTGGCTCCTTCAAGTCCCGTTTCTGTGGGTTTCATAACTTCTGGCTTTTTTAAAGTTGAAAATCAAACTGCCAAAGAAATGACAGCCATGTTATCTTAGGGCTATGTTTGATGTTTATGAGTTGATGGTGACATGAAACCCTGTCAGAAATGCAAGGGAGAGCAGTAGGGGTTGTAGAGATGGCACCTGCAGCAGGGTTGTGCTACCAGTGCAATGCACAGCCATTCATCTTGTTTTCCCTTGTGCCTGGGTTTTGTTTATCTTAAACTGGGCATTACTTATTAAATGGCTCTATACTTCCATTTTTCCAGCAGAAAGAGAGAGAAAATAGCCAAATTAAAAAAAAAAAAAATTAAAAAAAATCAATATCTTTGACTTCTAGTGCTTACTTAGGAGCCAAGAATAATGAATTCATCTCATTCTGACCTGCCCTTGTACCAAAAGCTTGTCTTGTGCCAGCTGTCGAGCTGCTCTTGCAGAGCATGCAGCTGAAGGTTGTGGTGACCCAGAAAGAGTTCTGCTGCCTGTGTGCTTCTTTGTCTCGAAACCCAACTCCAGAGGCAGCAGCCCACTATGCTGTCTTGCACTTGAGGTGGACTCCCTTGGCAGCTGGCTGGGCTCCCAGGAGAGTCTTGGATATAGATGTTTTCTCCATGTGCTCCCATTTGCCCTGTGTGCAGGAAAAGAAAACTTTCAGAGAGGGACTGTGGCAGCTTTTCTAAGCTTTTGACTCAAAGTTCTGTAAATTTCATCGTCTAGTTATTAACTTGAGCCTTTTTGGTGGGGTTTGTGGGAGGGCACGTACTGATGTGGCTGCAGTTCTGTCCCAGGGCTTGTATGTTCTCAGCCTTGTGATACAGGATGGGACACCATCCATAATTAGCTGCGTGTTCCTGCATGCCAGGAGCTCAGTGACCTGCACTGCTTTGCTGTGCAGTCTGGAGCACAAGGCATTTGTCAGCCTGACTTGGCCAAACAGGCTCATCTCTGAACATGGCTGATGATTTTTCTCCCTGCCCTGACGTTTACAAAAGGCTTCTGAGGATTGTGCAGATGGCAAGGAGGGGAGCTCTGTTAGGAGGGGACTGTAGGAAGGGCAACAGGCAGCAGTACCTCTCTCTTGCCTTCTCTGCTCACTCCCTTCCCTCCCTTTTCCAGATCGGGTGGTGGATGATCTGAACCCAGTGCTGAACTTCACCCGACGGGAGGTGGAGAACCTGCTGCATTTTGTGGAAGAAGAATCTGACCCTGCTCAGCTCTCCCTCAATCCAAGCAAGATGAAGGAGTCTGTTCTACAATTAGCCTGTCTCAAGTATCCTCACCTCATCACCAAGGTAAGACCAGCCTGTTTCCTTGCTGGCACAGCACTGCACGGGCAGGAGGAGGTCTAGAGGAGTCTGTCTGTGTGATGGGGACGTGGTGGCAAGGAGGACATCTGTGTGCTGGTGGGAGTTGGTAAAAAATCATCTAGAGAGTGCCCTAAGAGGCCTGCCCTTCCCTGCAATATTGTCTGCACATTTAGAGCCACGTCTGAGCTGGACAGGTTTGGGGGGCACTCCTTTCTTCAACTTGGTGCTGGGTGGGAAGGTGGCAGTGGCATATCCCAGCTCGCTGCCTGCTGTCTTCCTGGGGTGGCTTTAAAACAAAGCTGGGACAGCCCGCACTTGCCTGTGTTGTGAAGAGTTTTACTGGTAGGGTGGTGCTGCAGAGCAGGCCTGTGGCCGGGTGCCGTGGGGCTCTGGTGGCATCTCAGCAGGTTCCATGTGCCCACTTTTAGCCTGGTCTTTGGCTCCTGGGTTCTGCTGTGTGCTCATGGCGACCGATGGCCTTGGCTGGGCAGGCTTAGTGATGGTGAGCGATGGCTTAGCTGACTCTGTCACTCTTCAAGCTGAGCCTTGATCGCATCACATGCCCAACGTGACTTTCACCATGACCATCTCTGCCTCCCAACTCCCCTCTTCCCTGCTCCAGCCTGGCATGGAGACAGCGCTGGTGCAGGGACCAGGTGGTTGCCATTTGGGGCATGTTGGTTCCCTCTTGTGGTGTGTTGGTGTCAAAACCTCAGTGCTGTGGGGTTGCAGGAGCCTTTTCAGCATGAGTCACTGCTCATCGACCGGAAGGAGCACAAGCTGACCAAGGCAGAGAAGAAAGCAGCCAAGAAGAGCTATGAGGAGGAAAAGCGAGCATCCGTCCCCTACACCCGGCCGTCCTACGCACAGTATTACCCAGCCAGTGACCAGAGTCTGACGAGCATCCCTGCCTTTAGCCAGAGAAACTGGTGAGTACCTGCCTCTTCCCCTTCTTCCCATGCTGCAAACATGAAATGGGGGAGCAGAGGACACTGATCCCTGTCGGGAGGGCACTGCACTTTCCTCCTTCCTCTCTCACTAGGCGACCAGCCCTCAAGGGTGAGGACAAGCCAGTGGCAAGCGTCCGCCCAGTTCAGTCCACACCCATTCCTATGATGCCCCGGCATGTCCCCATGGGTAGTGCAGGATCAACCTCAAGTTCCAACCCTGCTGTCAACTTCCCCATCAACTATCTGCAGCGAGCTGGTGTCTTTGTGCAGAAGATTGTCACCACCACAGGTGAGTTGCTGACGCTCGCAGCCAGTTGAGTTGTGATGCCCAAGGTGAATTGAGAAAGCAGGATGAGTTGTTGATGCCCACGTGGGCTGTGGGCAGACAGGTATTGGAGCCACTGATACAAGAGAGATACAAGAGTGCTGGAGCGAGTGCAGAGGAGGGCAATGAAGCTGGTGAAGGGCCTGAAAAACAAATCATATGAGGAGCAGTTGAAGGAGCTGGGACTGTTTAGTTTGAGGAAGAGGAGGCTGAGAGGAGACCTCATCACTCTCTACAACTACTTGAAAGGACACTGTAGAGAGGTTGGTGCTGGTCTCTTCTCACAGGTAATTAGTGACAGAACGAGAGGGAACGGCTTCAAGCTCCAACAGTGTAGGTTTAGACTGAACATTAGGAAAGAATTTTTCACAAAAAGAGTGGTTGGGCATTGGAATAGGCTGCCCAGGGAGGTGGTTGAGTCACCATCCCTGGATGTGTTTAAGGGATGTTTAGATGTGGTGTTGGGGGATATGGTATGGGGAAGGACTTTGTAGAGTAGGGTAGATGGTTGGACTCGATGATCCCAAGGGTCTCTTCCAACCTAGACGATTCCATGATTCTATGATACTGTCTCTCTGTATTTGAGTGGTTCCCTTGTACCTGGAGGACTTTCCTTGCAGGTGTGCAAGGGGCATGGGGCTGGCGAGTTGTTAGGAGTGAAATCCCTGTGAGAGGGCCTGCAGTACTCTTACCAGTTGTCCTTTTTGGGATTGGGTAGATGCTATGCCAGAGCTGTGTGACTTTTGCTTCCTTGGAGCCTCTGCTGCCTTCCTGTGCTGCTCAGAAATAAGCCCAGAGCTTGCTTCTCTAGCAGAGTGCATAGGAGAAACAACTGCACCTCCCCGCTCCTGACTGTGGCTGCCGTGTAGTTTCAAGGGCACTGTTGTGTTTCTTCCCCCACTGCCAGATATTGTGATTCCGGGTACAAACACATCCACTGATGTACAGGCAAGAATCAGTGCTGGGGAGAGCATCCACATCATCCGAGGGACAAAAGGTCAGTTTCTCTGTCTTGGGTAAGACTTACGGATAGGGTCCTAGCCAATGCTGAGTAGCAAAGGGTGCAAAAGCATGAATCTGTCCCTTGAGAGGAAAAGAAACAAGAAGGGGAGGAGATGTGAACTCTGCAGTGGCTTTGGGCAGCCCGTGCTTTGGGTGCGCTGTTGTCGCTGACGCTTCAGAGCTATGGCAGCTGTGGCTTCTGCTGCCTCTGAGAGGAGCTGTTGGACTTTGGCTGGGTGTCTCATTCTCACAATGCTTCTGCATGTCCTGGGGCAGCCAAACGCTTCCTGATGCTTCCAGAGCAAACTTAGTCCAGAGCATGAAGTTCCACGTTTCCCACCGGCAGTGCATGGGGAGGGGGTGAGCTCCAACCCAGGAAAGCTGAAAGGGTGGAAATGAGGAGTGAGGAAGGGGGCAGAAGTCCCCCGCCATCTCCCTGTGTGATCTGTGGGCTGGCCTTACACAGCACGGCTGTCCTGTTCCTGCCTGGGCAGCCTCACGGGAGCTGCAAATGAAGTTGTTCTTGCCTCTGCTCTAGGGACATATATCCGGACCAGTGACGGGCGAATTTTTGCAATCCGGACCACTGGGAAGCCAAAGGGCAATGAAGACCGTCGGACAGCTGCCTCAGGTAGGGGGCTGTGGGGGCTGTGTGAGGCTCATACCCTTTTTTACCCAAATATCTGGGGCGGTCGGTGTTCCCTGCCTGCCTTCCATCGCCCCTGTGTCTTCCCACAATCTTCCCATCATATCCTCGCCTTCCTTTCCACTGTTGCTCCTCGGCCCCACAAGGTTTTTCTCCAAGGTTGTCTCTCTCACCTGCTCCATCTCCTCTTTTCCAGGCTCCCAAAGCTCTTCGCTGGAGTCCACGAGCAATGGCAGACACAGTGCCTCATCACCGCAGCTCCCCAGCGCGGAGGAGCTCACTCGGCCCATATCCCCCGACAGCCCCGAGATCATCAGCGAGCTCCAGCAGTACGCGGAGGCAGCGGCTGCCCGGGAGTCCCGGCACAGCTCTCCCAGCACCAACGTGGCAGCGCAAGGCCACCAGGCTCGCGTGGACAACGCGCCCGGCTTAGCAGCCCGAGGAGCCGAGCAGCGTGTGGGGATTCACTGCATGGCTCCCTCCGTCTCTTCGGCCCTGCCGGCCACCAGCCAGCACGGCGATGCCCACTCGGTGTTGGACTTACGGGGCAACAAGCGCAAGTCGACCTCGCCGTCGGCTCCGGAGGAGCAAGCCCGCAGGCAGCAGAAGAAGCGCCAGTTGCCATCGTCCGCGCAGCCGTACGAACACGGGTACCCCGTCTCTGGTGGGTTCGCCATGCCTCCTGTCTCTTTAAACCACAACCTAACCCATCCATTTGCCTCCCAACCAGGAAACTCCTTGTACATGGGCACTGGCTCCTCTTATTACCAGCTGCCCAATTTACTCCCAGACCCTCATCTGGTGTTCCCTGTGACTACTGACCCTCTGCTGACAGCCGGCACCGCCAGCTCTTCTGCTGCTACCTCAGCCACCGCCAGCGTCCCCTCATTCATGCTAAACCCTTCTCTGACGGGGGTGCTGCCCAATTACTCGCTTCCCTTCACGCAGTCACTCCTGCCCGAGCCCAGGATGTTTGCTCCTTTCCCAGCCCCCGTCTTGCCTAACAGCCTTCCCAGGAGCATGGCATCTGCCTACCCTGGCTACGTGTCCCCTCACTCGGGCTACCCGGCCGGGGGCCTCCTTCGGTCCCAGGTGCCTCAGTTTGAACCCCAGGAGGTCCCAGAGGTGGGATGCAGCTCTAATGACGAGGACAAAGACGACGATGTTATAGAGATCACAGGGAATTAATGGGCCCAGCTCCTGCTTGGCCTCAGCTCCGCCAGGAGGCAAAAGTTGCAGGACCTTTTTGGGAGTCAGGATGTCCCCTCTGGGCCACAGCAGCGGGTGGAGAAGGATGCGAAGGGTGTGGCGTGGGGGTTGTTTTGTTCTTTTCGTTTTCTTTTGTTGTTTTTTTAGCTGTCAAGGATCTGAATTGTATTAGGGGCTGGGAGATGGGAGGGGGATAGAGTGGTCCTGAGAGGGCTGGGAGCAAGAGCCAGGGAAGGAGGGAAGCAGCCATGCAAAACCATAGGAGTGCCTCCCTCCCACGCTCTGTCTGTCTGTCTGTCTCTGTTCTCTGTCTTGTCTGGAAGGGGGAGGCTTGGTGCTGCGAGTCACTGCCCTTCTCAGGCCTGGAGGCACGGGCTTGACCGCTGGCAGGGCCCAGCTTTCCCTCTCACACGAACTGCCTTATCTGTGAACTTCTCTCACTCCGGGAGGTGTGGGCCGGGGGAGCGACTCCAGCAGAGGGTTGGGGACAAA